CCATTTTATGGATGCGGAAAGCAGGTACTGAGTCCCTACTATGCGCAGACCATGCCTCAACTTTTTGGTCCTCATCAGCAACATAGGGATGAAATGCAAGTTTTGCCCACTTTATAGGCAAAGCGTGGCAAAGTCACTTTTACAAGGTCACCCACTCTTAGCGTGGCACCCAACCCTCCTGGGAAGATAGGGGTTTTATCCACCTGCTCAGAGAGAAAGATAGACACAGAGAGAGACAGATGGAGGAATACAGAGTCAGAGAGACACAGGCAGTCAGAAAGAGAAACACGGAGGCAGAGAGGACTGCCCCAGCCTCAGCCCGGGTAAAGGAGGAGGGAAGGGAAATGTCCCCCCAGTTCTCCCCAAGGATTGCTTGCGGGGATTCAGGCTGTAGGTCCCTCTGGGCATCCCTGGGGTGGCTGAGTGTGGTCTCAGGGGCTGAAGTAGGCAGAGGCAGGCTCAGGGCTGGTGGCAGGTACCCCTTGGGTGCCTGTGGGCATGGGGCCTGGCGGGTGCTCAGCCCTGCTGTAAAGAGAGATTATCCATGTGGTCTTAGATGCTGAGGCCCAGCTTCACCTTTCTCTGGGCCCTCCCCGGAGCTGTAGCCACTTAACCCCTTCAGCCCAATCCCCTGTAGGCGAAGCTCTGCCCCTTCCCAAAGTGAGAAACTGAGGCATGGCAAGGCAAATGAAAAACCAGGAATCCTGGGTATTGCCTGCCAGCTGAAGGCTGGGAATATAAGGTTGTGGGTCAAGATCTCTGCCACGCCCTCTGGGAGCACCCAAATGCACCTCCCTCCCATTGTGAGTGGTGATGCTCTGGGTGGGCTTCCTGGAAGAGGCAGTACCATGGCTGGACTTGGAGAAGGGCTGGGGCTGGGAAGTGGAAGTGAAAGGGCCAGCCATGGCTCTGGAGGCACCCCTGAGCAGAGATGGCCTAGTGCTGGGGGAGACAGTGCATGATTCTGAGGAGACCCTGGGATCCGGGGCCCTGTGCAGGACCAGTTCTCACGGGCCTGGCTGGGCCTCTCCTGGCTCCACGGCGAGAAGGATGTGTGTCTGCGTGAGAGCAGGACTTGGGACAGGGCCAGTGCAGCTACAGCCAGGACATAAACCTGTCTGCCTTCGGCGCCACGGCCTCCCCACCAACTGGGGACAGGGCCCTGGCTGAGCTGACAGGAACCAAGAACGTTGGTGGGGAGGATGGAGCTGAGGCAGAGGCGTGGGGGCCAGTGGGCGTAGGGGGTGAGGGGGTGGAGTCGGTGATTCTGAGCCTGAATCCAGCCCAGAGCACTCAGGCATACCCTTCTTGCCCTGGCGCAAACAGCCCCTCTGGGCAGCCCTCCCCTCTACTGCTGCCACCTCCTCTGCTTCCACTGCTCCTGGTGCACTATGGGTAGCTGGGACCCTGGCTTCTGGATGTCCCCTAGCTGACCCTAGGGGGACCCCGGCTGTTCCTCCTAGCATTTTCCCGCTGAGGAAGCTGAGGCGGAAGTGGAGGAGGTGAGGGGGCCACTCAGGGCTGCTGCTCAGATCAGAGACTGAGGGTGTTGTCCTGGGAGGGGCCTTCCGCTAGCTGCAGCCCCGGGAGCCTCTGCTGGGTCTCACAGCAGAAGGGTGGGAGAATTGGGCATCCCTCCCTTCCAGCCCTACCTCAGCTGGCTCAGGTCTCCAAATTGCCTCTCTCCTACCCTCCTGCAGTAGTTCTTCTGCTGCGCTTTGCAAAATCCAAATGTGCTCTAAGACTCCCCTGCCGAAAATCCCCACAGTGGCCCTTCCCTGACTGGCCCCAGCCCCCCAGCCCGGTTCATCCACTCACCCCAGGCTCCAGCCAGGCTGAGACACTGGTTCCTCAATGTCAGCCACATTTCTGGGCCTTTGCAGAAGCGGCTCCTTCCACCCACAGTGGCCTTTTCTCCTTCTCGACCTGCTCAGCCCTGAGACGCCCGTGGAGACATCCCTGACTGCCCTCACTCCCCCACCCCAGCAGGGTCCCGGTCCCTGTATTTCCCATTCTCTTGGCATTCACCACACCAGGCCTCCATTTCTTCATCTGTAATAGACTAGCCATGGGATTGACCCGAGGATTAGCAGGGCTCCTAGATGTGAAGGAATCCCTGTGTGGTGTAAAGGATTAACTCACTCGGTTGCTAACCCGAAGGTTGGAGGTTTGAGTCCACCCAGAGGTGCCTTGGAAGAAAGGCCTGGAGATCTTCTTCTGAAAGATCAACCACTGAACACCCGATGGAGCACAGTTCTACTCAGACACACATGGGGTCACCATGAGTCAGAGTGGACTCGACAGCAGCTGGTTCTATATATGAACAGCTCAGACCAGTTCCGGGTGCATAGGAAGTGCTGTGCAAGGGTTAGCTCCCACCGTTGTCATGTCCATCCCCCCTTCCCACTGTGATCCCCTCCTCTGAGTCACTTCACCTCTGTGTGTAGCTGGGTTGAAGTGACTGGGGCGGCTGACACAGGGGGTCTAAGTCTCTGACTTCTGTGCTTCTACCAGGGATGGATGGAACGGCCATTCTGTGTGCAGCGGGAGGGAGTCTTGCAGATTCAGAGGAAGAGAGATTACCTGCTGTGAAAGCGTGGTTGGCGGTGACAAGGAGACAGTGACATGTGAGTCGTTTTGATGGACAGGGAGGATTTGGGTTCTAGGTGAAGCGGGTAAGACAGCAGCAGGAGGATAACACGGATTGTGTGTGAGCCCAGGGCTGCCTTTCTGAGAGCACAGGAACCTCAGGGCACACTCTGGGCAGCTCAGACCCCACCCAGCAAGCACAGCATCCTGGGCCTCTGCAACACCAAGTCCCCAGCATCCCTGCAAGTCCCCAGGGTGTCTCAGGAATAGCCTAGGGCTCACTGGTAGGTCCTGGGAGGGAAGAGGAGGCCACCCCCTTGGCCTAGGCTGTCATCCCTCAGAGGAGGCCCCACAGCAAGGTGGCTGGGACCCGAGAGAGACATTTCTTTCAGGTCACACCAGCTGCATCTTGGTCCCTGAGGTGGAAACATCCCCAGGGAGCTTAGTCTGATGAGGTCAGACCTAGAATGACCCCCCCACCCCAGAATCCTGAGGGAGCCGACTCCTTCTTCTCCTTGGCCTCAGAACCCCTCCTGCCTGGCTGGCCTCCATCTCCCCAGACCTCCAGACCCTTCCATGTGAGCCAGGGTTCCCAGGAGAGCCCCAGCTCTCCTGCCAAACAGGGAGTGCAAATACCCCCTTGTGGGGAGGAGAGAAAGGAATTTACTTAATTTTCCACAACAGTCTGCTCAGGCCACCTGGGCTCCTGCTATGGGGGACAGTCTAGGTGGCCGGAGTTGGGCCAGGGCATGGAAACAGTGACAGTGGGGGCAAGGCCAACGGGGAGGGGTTCCAGGGTGGCCTTTTCTGTCCTTGTGTCTGACACATGTTCTCTTTCTCCCTGTCTCCTTCCTTTTCCCCTTCTCCTGTCTGCTCTATTTTTGTCCCTCTGTCCTCCTGGGCCCAAATCTGGAACAGATGCCCCTGCTCTGGTTTTATCAGTGTTTATTGGAAAACGGTGGTACCCATCACTGGACCAGTTCACACGGCTTCCCTCGAGGAAGCAAAGCGAGTTCCCATGGCTTGTCAGAGTTAAAAATAGAGACGAGATGGAGTGAGAAACAGGCAGAGAGGCAAGACAGGGGAACCAAGACGAGAGACCGAAGCATCGAGAGACGCACCAGGTCCCTGCTCCCATCCACTTGTTCATTTTCAGGCCGACACAGGGCTGATTTCGGGCCTCGTGGCTACTTGTTCCCAAATCTGTTTCCCCAGGTTTGTCCCCGGGGAGTTGGAGTGCTGAGTGGGTTGGTTCAGTCACACCTTGTGGTCAGTGGGAGGGAGCCAGTGTCACCCCACCGGCCTCGCTACCCTGTGGGTGTGCCAGGAGCCTGCCAGGCTCTGTGGCGGTCCTGGGATACCCCCTGTGCCCTCTGCCTGTTGGCCACTTGCCCATCCTTCACAGCCCACACCTCATACCCCTTTTTAGGTATGCCCTATCCGCCAGTGGGGTGTGCCTCTGCCTCCCGCGAGGGATCCCCTTGTTGTGTGCATGTCTACCCCCGACTGACGTGGGGGTGGCCTTGCTGTGAGGAGCACATTCAGCCCCAGTGCCCGGCCTGGTTGGCTGAAGTCAGGGACTGCCTGCTGAGTGAGGGAATGAATGATTGAGTGAGGGGGGAATGAGTGAATAGGGAGGGATCAAGGGACCCAAAGGCCAGAGCTGGACAGGAGCTTCCTCTAAGCTCCATAGGGAAATGGTTAAAGGCTATTCTAGGGCCAGAAGTCCTGGCTCAGGGCCTTTCCCTCCAGCCAGTCCTGGCCTCCCAGACCCAAGAAGAGCCCAGAGAAGCAAGCCCAGGCTGAGGTTTTTCACCAGGGACTCAGGCTAGAGGAATGAGGTGGGATGAATAGTGCCCTTTCCTCCCTCCAAATTCGTGTTCACTCAGAATGTGACCTTATTTAGAAACAGGGTCTTTGCAGATGTAATTAGCTGAGGATCTCAAGATGAAAAAATCCTGGATTTCAGGTGGACCCTAAATCCAATGACTGGTGTCCTTGTAAGAGAGAAGAGGACCCACAAAGAGAAGAAGGCCATGTGAAGGCAGAGGCAGAGACTGGAGGGATGTGACCACAAGCCAAAGAATGCTAGGAGCCACTGAAAGCCGGAAGAGGCAAGGAAGGATTCTTTGAGCCTTCAGAGGGAGCACGACCCTACCAACACCTTGATTTCAGACCTCTGGCCTTCAGAACGTGAGAGAATAAATTTGTGTTGTTTTGAGCCACTCAGTTCATGGTAATTTGTATGAAGAATCCCACCCACTTGTTCCAGGCTCTTCATCAGCCCCTGATGTTGGGCTCTGGGCTCTATACTGGGAAGATCCTGAGGAGGTGGCTTAAGTTTTTGTGGCCAGGATGTGTCTGTTACAGGTCTGAGGAAGGCGGTGCATGTCCCTGTGGGGACCTGGGGGTCAGGGAAAGAGTGTGGTCTGGGTCTGTTCCCAGCATTCGGCCTGGGTGCCAGAGGAACAGGGAACAAGGAGGAGGAGTGAGGCTGGGGGCAGCTCGAGGTTTGGCTGTGGGGCTGGTGTGTTTGTCATGAGCAGCTTCCGCGATGCCCAGTCAGAGACAGCCAGGGGAGAGGACACTTGAGAAGCAGCTGAGGGAAGAGACAGTCGGGGGCGGGGGGAGTGCATGTCATTAGTGAACACAGGGGCCTGGCTGGAGGGGATGAGTGCCCAGGGAGGGGGAGCTGGGTGAAACAGGCTGGGATGGTGGCCTCCTGTGAGCAGGAGGCCATGGTCTCCCACGGACAAGATGCAGGCCCAGAACATGGGCAACTGTTTGTGGGAGAAGGGGCTGGGGGGAGTTGTGAGCTTGGCCCAGGGCATTTATTCCAAATAGGGGTTGAGGAGCAAAGAGGACCCTCACACTCACTGCCTCACAACCCTGAAGCATGAGGGTAGGTTCCACCCACAAGGGCTTCAGGGAGGAGGTGTCCTCAAGGAAGAGGTAAGAAGGTGGTGAAGGGGCTACTTGGAGGCCCCACCTTCTGGCAAATTCCCCTGTCGTCCAAGGCTCAGGGGTCAACCCCTCAAGGTCCCCTCTGAGACTCCATCCCAGCCTCAGGCAACCCTCTGTCTGGGACAGGACTCTGTGGTCATCTGTCTGTCCCTCTCCTCAGTCTGGAGGGTGGAAGGGTCTAGTTTCACAGGTTTGGCAAGAGGTGGCCTGGGCCCTCCAGTTCTGCTCTGGGCCTTCCTCTGCCCTGCTCTGAGCCTAGGAGGCTGGCCTTGTGGGTGGCATCTCCCAGACCCGTGCTCTTTTGCTTCTGGTCAGGTTTGGCCTGAGACCAGAGGGCAGGAGGAGAGAGGCTGGGGTATGTATTCCCCCACTCCCTCCCTGCAGGCCACAGTGTGGCAGCGTTGGCACCCTCTACCTGCAGCCCCTGCTCCTGCTGGAGGCTGACCCTCCCCATGGCTACTGTTCAGCGGTTCTGGAAACACCACCCTCTTCCTCCTGTCAGCCCTTCCGTCAGGAGAACTTACAGCTCCCCACTGGTGCCAGTCCCTGGCCACTCTCTCTTGTTGTTTCCCCGATCCTGCCCACACCTTAGTAAACTCTCTCAATTGCGCTGTGAGATGGCAGCCATCTGTTTCCTGCCAGGCCACTGACCTGTGCAGGGCGTTGGTAAAGGTTGCTGGAGGGCAGTTCGATCTTTGCTGTTTACATAAGGGGAAACTGAGGCCCAGACAGGGTACGTGACCTGTCCACGGCTGTCCAGGGTCGGGGCTCGTGACTGCTCGGAAGGGGCTGTGGCGAGGCCAAGGCTTGGGGGTCTCTGTATGCTCCCCTCCTCCCCTCAGCCTGACTCCCCATGGTCACGTGAGCATTTCCTCCACAGCAGGAGCAGGATGTGTCTGCTCTGACTAATAAACCAATTAGGAGCATTGGTATCTCCCAGAGACAGGCATCTGGGAACCCAGCCAGCACCCTCCTTTCCTGACCCCGTGACCCCAGAGGGCGAGGCACCTCCACGTGGCAGGCCCGTCCCGGACTCTCCTCCATCCCTTACCTCCCTCCCTCTGCTCCAGTGCCTCCAACCTGCCCACCAGCCCCCAAAAGCTCCCACTGTTCCTGCTACCTGGGCCCCCTTCCTGTGCTTACCTGGGCACCACCCTGCTCCTTCTAGGCTACACGTCCCCAGAAAGCCCCCTCTGGAGCCTCAGGCAGGCCAGTGACCCTGCCATCCCTCACATGTGGTGTGTTGCTCTCCCCCACACACGGAGCAGTGAACATCTTGAGGGCAGAAGCTGGCCTAGGTCATCTCAGCCCCTCAGGACCCAGCACAGGTCAGGGATGTTGATGATGAGTGCTGGGTGCTCTGAATGATTTGGAGTCATCTCTGGGCAGAGTCCAAGCTTCTCTTGGGAGCTGGGCTTCACACACACTCCCTGCCCCCATGCCCAAGCCTGGGTGGGCCCCACCCAGGAATGTGACAGGTGTGGTGGGTGATGTTTAGAAGCTGTGCCTCCTGTGCCCTCCAGGGAGGAATCTGAGGACAGGCATACTGACAGCTCTAAGTCCTGCAGCCAGGAGAGGCGAGCTGGAGAGAGGGGCCATAGATGGGTGCTGGGGGGGTGGCAGACCCATAGCCTCTTGGGTAAGGGGAGTGCTGGCTGGCAGGGCAGCATGGGTACGTCTCGCGCATGCGCAGTCTCCACAGTCTATGAGGCGCCTCCTTATTTTAGCCTCCCTGTGGCCCAGTAGGGCAGTGCGCTCACCCTCATGTTACAGTTAGGGCCATGGAGCCCCAGATGGCTCAGTGAGCCTAGGACCCTCACCTCTTGTCCTGTATCCACCCCACCCCCAACCCCAGCCGCCCAGAACCTCCCCCAGAGGAGCTGGAGGGAGGGGTGCAGGAAGACTGCCCAGGCGTACGACGCCACGGACACACAGGGAGGTATTGAGGACCTTTATTTCCCACAGGGATTGGCCCAGGCTTTGTCGCTCAGGACACTGTTCCCCCAACCTCATTTAAAAAATCTCTCTCCCAGGCCTATGACGTTGCGGCACGTCTCCCATCCCAGGCTCTGCAGCCTGGACTAAGGGCAAGGCTGAGGGGCGGATGGGGGCCCCCACGGCTGGAGGGCTGAACATGTGGTGAGTGTTGTATCTTCTCACGTGCACCGACTCCTCGGGGCCAGAAATGGTGATGCTCCCACAGGTGTCCAAGCTTGAACGGGGGAGGAGAGAGAGAATTGTGAATATAGGGCCCTCCTGGTGGAGGGCCCATAGCCACTGCCTAGAGTTCTGACCCATTGCCTAGGGGAAACTGAGGCACCACTGGCCAGGTATATTAACCAAAGGGAACCAGGCTATGGCTGTTTCTCTGTTGCTATTGTTGTTCTTAACTGCCATGGAGTTGGCCGACTATTCATGGCAACTCTGTGCACAGTGGAACGGAATGCTGCCTGCTCCTGTGCCATCCCCATGATCAGAAATTAATCGGACCATTGTTCTCCATAGGGTTTTCATTGGCTGGGTTTGGAAGTAGATTGCCAGGCTTTTCTTCCTAGTGTGTAATCCAGTTCCTCCTCCCTACCCCTGTCATCACCCAGCCTCTACTCACACCCCCTGCTCTCCCCACATGCCCAGGGATCCCCTGCCTGCCTCTCCTGATTAAAACCCACCACTGGCTTCCTCTGCCCAGTTCCTCAGCTGGGCATCAAGGCCTCCTGGCTCCATTGCCTGGCCACCTCCAACCCTCCTGTCCCCTTTCCCCTCCTCCACCTATATTTCAGAGGCCAGGTTCCCCCTTTCCTCTTCAAAGCCTCCCGGACACCCCTCTCCACCAAGCCGCAGCATCTGAGCTCTCTCTGAAGTCTTGAGGCAAAGCTCAGTCCTTGGCCTGGAAGCCATTGACCTCCACCTGGGGTGGGGGGGTGGTCTTCCACTTTGGGAGGGTCTCCTGCACCCCTAATTGCAATTTCTTCCATTGCCACCAGGGGGCAAGTGGTGCCCACTCAGAAAGCGTGGACCCAATGGGCAAGCAGGGGGCATTGATGGACAGGCAAGTGAGGGGTTAATTCACATAAGCCCCCACCGTGTCCTGTAGGCTTCTCAGCAGGGAGGATGAGGTCTCTAGCTCAGAGCCCACAGGTTCTGGAACGTTGTGGATCCCTTGCTTCCTACACTGTTAGCTCTGCTTGGCCTTCAGGGAAAACCCCTCTAGCAATGGCAGAAAGGGGGAGCTGAGCCGATGGGGCCTGGGCCAGGGCAGCTGCTGGGGGGAGCCAGGAGAGGGGAGGAGGGGCCAGAGGTGGGCCAGGATTCTCCGCCTGCCCACTCACCAGGTGTAGATGAGCAGGGCCAGGAGGGCGGTGAGCAGCACAGCCAGCAAGACTGACAGGAAGGCGATGATGACCACAGTGCTTGCCGTCTGCGGCCCTGGGGCTGCCTGGAGTACCTCAGCTGTAGGGACCACACAGGCAGGCAGGGCAGGTGGGGAGAAAAAGAGGCTTTGTTTGACCTGAGAAGGGGTCCCCAGGCTGGGGGAGGGGCACCTGCAGACAGCAGGATGGTATTAGGGGCTCTGATAGGGGGCTGGCCTACCCCTCAGCCATCCCCAGTCCTTGGGAGCCCCCAGGCCCGTGGCCTCCAGCCCCCAGTGTCTGAGCTGATACCTTGCTGCAGGCGAGTCTCACCAGACCACTCTGTCTCAGCCAGAAGTCCCCTGTCCTCACTCAGCACCAAGAACTTCACCCTGAATGGGAGACCTAGCATTGAAGGTGTGGAAATTCCCCAGTCCTAAAAGCCTGTCATTAAGTCCCCTTGACTCCCCAGGCCTGGGGAGAGCGCCAGGAGGTGGGGCATGGAGCAGGGACTAGGAGCCCAACAGACGTGGTCCAAATTCTGGCTGCGACAGTTTCCAGCTGCATGACCTTAGGTACATCCCTCATCCTCTGGGTCAGTGTCCTCAGTTGGGAAGTGCGTGTGGGTGCTGGATTAGCTATCCCAGTACCTAACATCAGTGAATCAAGCACTTAGGAGGAGGAGACTGGGGAACGCCCAGTCTGGGCGGGGAGTCACCACCCGCGTGGTTCAGACCGACCGTGGAGGCAGGAGCTTGAGGGGGGACCCTCTGCTCAAGAAAGACCAAGAATTCACCAAGGCCCTGGCCCTGTTCACTGCCACACCTCCCGTCTGCAGAACTAGAGCAGGGAACACAGGACTCAGTGGCCCACCTAGGAGCTTTCCAGGCTCAGGTTTGGGCAGCATGGGGTACACCCACACCCCAGCCAGGGGCCAGGCAGAGGCACTCACCGGTAGGGGCCTGGGCCGGGGAGAGGGTGGTTGCAGCCCTTTGTGGTTGGGGAGCAGCGGGTGTCGTTGCCCACGCGGAGGACTTGGAGCTGGTTGCTGGCCTGGTCACCTGGGTAGAGTGCCCGGTTGGCCCTCAGTGTGAGGTAGTAGCCTTTCCGGGGTAGGTCAGCAGGGGCAGGAGAATCCTTCAACCTCTGTGGGGCAGCGAAGTTCTGGGTGGCTGAGGGTGGCACTACAAGTCAGATGGTTGGGGCTGAACAGGCAGGACTCCACCCCATCCCACCAGGCCAGACAGCCACCCTTGCAGCACCCCCTCCCTCGCACGCACTTGTCATTGGTCCCAAGCCCGCCTTCTCATGTCACAGAGGGAGAATCAAGGCCCACCCCAGCATACCCACCGTTGCTGTGGGCCACCACCAGCCAGATGGCATCAAAGTCGGAGATGTTTAGGTGACTGAACTGACCCTGCGGCTGCTCCAGGGTGAAGGTGGACTGCGTGAGCTTCCCTGCCAGGGTGGCATTTGAGAGCCGGGGCACATAGCTGATGTGCTCTGGGGCCAGCGGGAGAGGGAGGGCAGAGAGAAGAGGCTGAACAGGACAGGTCTCCCCCAGCCCAGTCTAAGGGTGGAGGCACCATCCTGCCCTGGGAGTCCCAGTCTGGGGGCGGGGCACTGCCCTGCCCTGGGAGTTAAAGTCTGAGTGGGGAGACTTGGGTCTGTCTTGGGAGCCCCGGTCTGAGGGAGGAGTTAGGGTTCTTCCCTGGGAGATTCAGTCAGCCATTCATCAGGAAGTCTCCGTGGCAAGGCTGTGGCCCAGGGGCGGGGATGGACGGCCTCAGTCCAGCTCCTTGCCCCTCCTTTGGGATCCTACCAGGGGTGGGTGCTGTGGAGGTCAGGAGAGAGGCTTAGCCAACCCCCCCTTCATTCCCTGCCCCTCCTGGGTTTGCTGGGTGATGGGCCCAGATAAGGGTGGCCAAGAAAGGCACAAGGGGCCTCTCACCCCAGCTGTAGGCACAGTTCTCCTGGGGTAGGGGTCTTTGGCCTTGTTGGAGTGAGACTCGGATTGGGGGTGAGCTTGAGCCCTCCATCAGACTCTGCTCCTGATGTACCCAGTGATCTTGGGCTGTGACTGTCTCTGGGCCTTAGTTTACCCGTCTCTCAAGTCCTTCCAATGTCACCCACATTGGTTTGTATGGCAAGAGGAATGGCTTGGGCAGAAGAGGGGTGGGGGGGTAACACAGGTCCCCACCGAGACCCCAGTATGTGACATGGGCTCTGGGGCCAGAGGCTGGCTCAGAGTATAGAACACCCCCTCCTTCCCACCCAGTTCTCTGCCATCTTCCATACTGGCCCCAAGGCACCTTCCCTTTCAGGACCTTGTTCCCCACCCCCACCTCCCTCACAGCCTCTTCTGAGGAAGCATGGGAGGAGGGCAACGGGACAAGCAAGCAGCCTCAGCCCATATGCCAGTGGAGGCTCCGGACTGACAACGTGGCCTGTGTCCACCTTGCTGTCAGAGTTCAAAACCCCTAACTCCTCTTCTTAGCTCAAGTAGATACATGAGATTACATGAGCAGCTCTCATCCAGAGGCAAGATGAGATGGCAGAGAGGGTCAGGAGCTAGTTGAATGGACACAGGAAATCCGGGGTGTGCTGTCACAGTATAGGGAGAGCAAGTAGGGTCACAAAACAATGTATGTATAAATTTTTGTATGAGAGACTAACTTGAATTGTAAACTTTCACTTAAAACACAATAATAGAAACAAAAACAAAAACAAAAACCCTAACTCCTGCCTGCACCCCCAAAGACAGAGCAGGGCCTCAGTGGCCCTCCTCTCCCCAGACCCAAATACTGGGGAGGAGCAGAAGGTGAGGTGAGCTTTTATGCAAGTCTCCAGAACCCTCTCCTTTCAGTTCAGCTCAGTGCTATTACTATTTAATTCCATTTAATTCATCTCAATTCTAAAGAAACAGCTGGGTCCGTACTAGACCCTTTAGGGGTGGGGGGAGCAGACTTGATTCCTCCTTTCTCAGAGCTCCCAGTTCTATCTCTGGGGCCCAGTGCACTTGGCATACAGTAGGCACTTCATGTTTGCTTAATGAAGAAAAAAGAGTGGAGCAGCAGATGGGGGAGGGGGCACTGGATCTCAAAAGGTCTCTAGTTTAAGAGGTGGAGAGTGAACAATGCCTCCAGTCCCACATCAGAGAGCTGTCGTTGGGTGAGGGGTGGGCATGGGCTGGGAGCCCTGAGTCCTTTGGAAGTCCAAAGTGCTTTCCGTTGTCCTTGTCAGGCTCATTTAAACCTCTCCTCAGTGGGAGGACAAAGGGGAAGAAGAGGAGCACATTTGGTGAGAACAGGGGTGGGGGCTCAGGGTGCATGGGGATAGCACCCCAAAGCGAGGGAGATAGCACTACTTGTGCCCTGGTCTTGAAGACCTCTTTTGGTGGTCTGACTTGTCCAGTTCCCAGACACATGAGGGGCTTGGGAGGCAGCCAGGGGAGGTGGGTCTGTCCTCCTGAAACGAGACACAAGAAGGCCTCCTGCCTAGGCCCCCACCCTCACTCACCCAGGCATGTCCCGGAATGGAGACCAGTCAGCAGCAGCAGCGGCGGCGGCATCAACAGCCAGAACTGTCCCCCACTGAACCCCATGGCTAGGCCAAGTGTTCCACTGTCTGTCCGTCCAAGGAGCTGTCTACAGCATCCACAGCCCCAGAGACGCCACTGTCTGTGCTGGGCTGGGGGAGGCAGCTTCTGGCACCTCCTGCTGCCCCTCCCGAGTGCCCCCTCCTTCCAAACAACTGGTTGGACGGGTTTGGAGGCAGAATCCCAGACCCTGTGGATTTGGCATCACCAGGGAGGGGTCTGAAGAGAACGATCAGGTGCTGACGCCAAGACAAGCCTGGACACTCCCACCCCCACTCCAGGAGGGCCTGGCCAGGGAGGGGCCGTGGAAGGAGGAGGCAGACACCAGGGTCCAGGCTGCCCCAGTGACAATCCTGCCACGCCCGCCCTGTGGCATCTTCTCATCCAGACACTCCCCAATCTGGTAACTAGGGCTCCCCACAGCACCCTGTGTGAAGGGAGTTACCCTTGTTTTCCAGACGAGGTCTAGCAGAAGGTGGCTTGTCCAAGATCACCCAGCCAGCCAGCACAGAGCCCGGGGTCAGCAGTCACACCTGCTGCAAGCTTGGCTGCACCCCTGCAGCCCAGCCCTGGGAGGAGGGCTCCCCAACACTACCCTCCCTCCTCTCCATGTCCAGGTGAACATCCGGGAATACCCTCTCTCTCTCCTCCATCCCCAGCCACTGTCATTTAGACAGAAGATTCCAGATGGGGCCCAGAGTGTGTGGGCAAAGCATATACTGACCCCCTCTCTCTTGGATTGGAGCAGCACCCCTCATGGGACTCCCTGCCTCAAGCTCAGCCCCCCTCAGTCCAGCCTCCACACCTGGTCAGAGCCATCCTCCTAAAACTCAAATCATGCCAGATGTCTTCTCGGCTGCAAAGCCAACAGGTTTTCATCACCCAGGCTTGATTCCTGGGTAAGGAGAAAGCTTCCCTGGGGGGACTTGGATGTCTACAAAAACAACTGCTGGAAGGAACCTCTGTTGTGCAGCAGGACAGGCCAACAGTCTCAAGCATGTAGAGGTGGGAAGAGGTTGAGAACCACTGGCCACTAGGTACTAAAAGCTCAAGGTCTTCTCAACTCACTCCTTACCACATCCTTCTTGGAGCACGTAGTGCTCCCTTATACCTCTGAACTTTTGCACATGCTGTTCCCCTGCCTAAAGTCACCTCCTCCCCAAGAAGAAAAGTCCTATGGTTATTTCAAAACCCAGTTCAGATATCACCTTCTTGATGAAGTCCTCCCAGACACTCTTCCCAGCCTGTTTCCCTGACCCCCAAGCAGAACGAATCCCTTCTTTTTCAGTTTTTCCATGGCACTTTGTACTGATGATTGTTCTTCCTGCTGCTCAATAATCAGTCTGTCATGCACAGTCCATTCTCTTGGGGCCCAGTCTGCACTGGGGCAAGTGGGAGGTTGACCATCATCAGGAGAGTTGGCATTGTCACAGGTCCCAGGAGCCTTATCTCATCAAAGTTCTGGTCAGCATAGAGAATGCCAGTGTGGCTTCCAGACCGTGGGAGGTACTGCTGCTCATTGTAGGAATGAACCATGAGCACCTCCAGCCTGGTCTCAAGTGTCACATGACACATTAGGACAAACGTGAGAAAAAGTCCTTCTCCACTGAGACATTTCACAAGTCTCTTCTGGTCTCACCAGTATCAATCACCACAACAACTGCATCCCATAATAAGCAATAGGGCATGACCTGGAGAGAAAAGAGGCAGCATCTTTCTATCATATTTGGCTTTGGAGATCCTTCTCAGCCAAGGTACCTGTCTTAGTTATCTAGTGCTACTATAACAGAAATACCACAACTGGATAGCTTTAACAAACAGAAGTCTATTCTTTCACAGTCTAGTAGGTTAGAAGTCCAAATTCAGAGCGTCAGCTCCAGGGGAATGCTCTCTCTCTCTGGAAGGCCCTTGTAATCAATCTTCCCCTGGTCTAGGAGCCTCTCCATGCAGGAACCCTGGGTCCAAAGGACTCACTTTGCTCCCAGCACTGATTTCTTGGTGGTATGAGTTCCCCATGTCTCTCTGCTCGCTTCTCTCTTTTATATCTCAAAAGAGATTGGCTCAAGACACAATCCAATCTTGTAGATTGAGTCCTACCTCATTAACATAAATGCCGCTAATCCCATCTCATCAACATCATAGAGATAGGATTTACAACACATAGGAAAATTACATCAGATGACAAAATAGTGGACAATCACCGTTCCTGAGAAGTTTGTCTACACTAGATGTCTACACTTCCTCACCACCTACTACTCATTCTAACCCTGCCACAGCCTGGTTTCCACCCCTCAACTCCCATGGCATGGCTCTCACTGAGGTCACTAATGACTGTTATCATGAAGCCCAGCAGCCCTGCACTGCCCTCACTGAAAATGGTCACGCTTGCTGCCTCTGCGCCCTCCTCTTGATGCCACTCGCTCTCCCTGTGCTCTTCGCCTCTGCGCCCTCCTCGATGCCACTCACTCTCCCTTTGCTCTTCGACGCTCCTGTCTCTTTTCACCTCTCTGCCTACTCCTTTTGCCTCATTTGAGGGCTTCTTTCCCTGGTCCTGAAATGGAGGGTCTTCTCTGGCCTCGGTCCTGGATCTGCTGCTCATTCGTCTTAACTCTCTCTGCCTCTGTGATCTTGCCCACTTCAACAGCTTTATTCCTGCCTTTGTGTGGTTGAGTCCCAGATCTGTGTTTCCAGCCCAGACCTCTCTCCACATCCCCACCTGCCAAGTGATGTCTTCACCTGGCTCTCCTGTAATCTTCTCATTCTCCACAGGCCCAAAAGGGAACTCTTTACCCACCACCCCTACCCACCCCTGACCCACAGACCTGCACCTCCCCCAGGGTGCTTGATCTCAGCTAATGGATGCCCATTGACCCATCACCACATGGTAGACCTTGGGTCTTCATCAGCTCCCTCTCCTGGTTGCTCTGCCTCCAGGTCTCCCAAGTCTTCCCCACCTTCCCCACTGCCCCAGCTTCTCACCTGGACCCTTCCAGCAGCATCCTTACTGGTCCCTCTTCAGTGAAGCAGCAACCCATGTCATTCATTCATTCAGTAAACAATGATTGTATGCCTGCTCTGTGTCAGGCCCCTGCTGGATGTTGGTGCCTCAGAAATGAAAACAACTATCCCTGACCTCTTGACGTGCTCATGTAAACCTATGGAGGACAGTCAGAGATGGAGCCCAGATGGAGGAAGAGGGTTCAGGGAAGGCTTCAGGGAGGTGGGATTTGCCAGGGGAAGGAGACAATGACTTTGGGAAATGTTTTTTTCTTTAAATTTCAAAGCAATCAAATGTTATCTGGTTATTCTGATGTATTTACACTCTCTCTGATTGCCAGCCCACATACACTATTTTTCTTTCCAAATAAACTTTGCCAATTATTTATTATAGTGATCCTGAAAAATTAAAATATTCCTATCAACACTACATAATGACTCAATAGGTTTTGTGTGATTGACTCTTTACTGGGTCATGCTAGCAGACAGTGCCTGACTTTTTAAGTTTAAAAAGTGTTGCAAGAATTATGCTGAGTGAAATAAGTCGGTCACAAAAGGAGAATATTGTATGATCCCACTCATATGAAATAGGCAAAAATTTATTAGTGGTTAACAGGGTGGGAGGGAAGGGATAAGGGAGAGTCATTGCTTAGGGCACTGAGTTTCTGTTAATGGCGATGGAATAATTTGGAAATAGTGGTAATGGTTGTACAACATGATGAGCGTAACCAGTGTCACTGAATTGTACATGTAAAAATTGTTGAATTGAAAAATGTTTTGTTATATATATATTTACCACAATTTACAAAAAAAAAAAAGTATTGTATATCATCAGTGATTGACTCAGCCCCAAGGGGTCAAGGATTAGGGGGCCAAACACCAGGGCAAAGGCTCAGGGGAGGGCAGATGAGGCTGGGCAGGAGTCGAAGGGAAGCTGAGCAGGGTAGGTGAGTCCGCATGTGCATGAAGTGAGCTGCAACCGGAAAGGCAGCCAAGCTATCCTCTTAAAACCCATCTCTGTGCCTTTGCTCAGGCCAGTCTCTCTTCCAGAGGTGCCCATGCTATCTTTCAATACCCAGGTAACGATATCCTTCAGCCCTACTCCAGAGTCTGCATTACTGGATAGCGTCCCCTGGTTGGGCTGAGTGTCCCCTCAAGGGCTCCTCTAGCACCCAGCATGCACCTCTATCTGTTAATCATTGTAATATAATGTATTATTACATCCATCATGTCCTTGTCCACACCTGTCCCCTCCTAGGTGAGAGCTCCTTGAAGGCAGAAACTGGTCCTTTCTCGCTCGGGACTCCCAGTGCCTCCCACAGAGCTCACCACAGAGTAGGTGTATCAGCATGCGGGTAGGGATACTGATGGGTTTCAGATACAGGTCACCCTGCAATTAGCATTTAGTCATAAGGCACAGGGGTCAGACATGCAGAACTTTAAGCAAACGTGTGAGCCCCCGAGAGCACACGGCCAGTGCTATTCTGCCCAGATGCAGGCACGAGAGCAGGTCAGGAGATAAGGGCATGAGAGGGTCTGACTGGAGCCACGCCAGCAAGTACAGGCCAAACTGAGTCCTGGAAGACTCTTCATTCCCACAGTGCTTTATTATAGAAATGTTCATACGTGTAACAAGCCCTGATGGTGCAGTGACTAAGTGCTCGGTTGCTAACCAAAAGGTCAGCGGTTTGAAACCAACAGCTGCTCCTCGGGAGAAAAATATGGCAGTCTGCTTCTGTAAAGATTTACAGCCTTGGAAACCCTACAGGGAAGTTCTGCTCTGTCCTATAGGGTGGCTATGAGTCAGAATCAACTCAATGGCAATTGATTTTGCGTTTGGTTCATACCTATAGGAAAGTTGAAAGAACAGTATGCTGAACACCCCTATAGTACTCTCCACCCAGATTCAACAATTACTAACATTTTGCCATATTTGCTCTATCCTTCCCGTGTGTATGTGTGTCTGTCTGTCTGTATGTGTTTTACCTGTTTTCTCTCTACCATTTGAAAGTCAATTGAAAGCAGACGTCATGACATGGGATGATCTTGCTTTATCCTTTTAAAAATATGTTCTTGCTCATTGAGTCATCCCGTTAGATTCCCCAGACGTGGGCAGGGCAGGAATTATTATTACTCTGATTACAGAGATGAGAACACTGGGCCCCGAAAGGGGGAGGAACTTCCCGCAGCCCCGAGGTGGGCCACCAGTGGACCTGGCAGTCTACCCCAGGCCTTCTGATGACTGGGCAGGAATATCTTTTCCCTTTTTTATCTGTGTTTAATTTGGGGGCTGCAGGAGCAGATGACTGAGTCAATTTTATTTCTCGGTCCATGGCACCCTTCACTACTGCTCTGCACAAGGACCTGCTTTATTTTTTTTCAGTTTTGCTCTTCATCCCTGTCTCCACCTGTCTTAGTCATCCAGTGCTGCTACAACAGAAACACCAGAAGTGCATGGCTTTAACAAAGAGAAATTTATGTCCTTACAGTAAAGTAGGCTAAAAGTCCAAATTCAGGGTGTCAGCTCCAGGGGAAGGCTTTCTCTCTCTCTCGGCCTTCTCATCAGTGTTCCCCTGGACTAGCAGCTTCCTGGGGCAGGGACCCTGGTCCAAAGAATGCGCTCTGTTCCTGGCACTGCTTTCTTGATGGTATGAGGTCCCCCTGTCTCACTGCTCACTTCTGTCTTTTATATCTCAAGAGATTGCGTCAGGAAACAATCCAGTCTTGTAGATCAGCTCCTGCCTTACTAACACAACTGCCACCCATCCTCCCTCATTAACATCATAGAGGCAGGTTTACAACAGACAGGAAAATTACGCAGTACCAGGAATCATGGTCTAGCCAAATCGATGCACACATTTTTGGGGGGACATAATTCAAACCATGATACCACCCCACTCCTGTTTCCTCCCCAGCCAACCACTCTAGTCAGTTTGGTGTATGCCCTTGTATCAATCATCTATGGCCACACAACAAATTCCCCCAAAACTGACAGCTTAAAGCAATAAACATTTATTATCTTAAAGTTTCTGAGGGGCAGGAATCCAGGAGCCGTTGACTGGGTGGTTCTAGATCAAGGTCTCTCAGGAGGTTACAGTCCAATTGTTGGCTGGGACTGCAGGCATCTGAAGGCTGGAAGATCCATTTCTAAGGTGGCTCACTCATATGACTCTTGGCACGAGGCCTCAGTTTCTTGATGGCTACTGACAGAAGGACAAAGTCCCTTTGCCACTTTGACCTCCCCACAGGGCTGTCTGAGTGTGTCCTCATGACATAGCAGGTGGCTTCTGTCGAAGCAAGCGATACAAGAGAGAGAAAAGCAGAAGCCACACTGTCCTTTATAACGGAGCCTCAGAAGAGACATCCCATCCTTTCTGCCAAGTTCTATAAGCCACACAGATCACAGCACCTGGGAGGAAAGGCACTATACAGGGTGCAGATGCCCAGGGACCATCTGGGAGACTGGTGGAATATGTGTGTAGCTAAACAGAACGTGTAGGGTTGTTTAGGGGTGTTTTTAATTTAAATGATTTTGTGCTACAGGCTTCGTTCTGTTTCTTACTTTTTCCACTCAACACCATTAAGCCCCATGCATGTGTACATTGAATCGGTTTCTTCTCTCGCCTGCATAAAATTCCATAGTGAACAACCCCCATGTGTTACTTGTCCATCCTCCAAGTGATGGTCTTCAATGCGGCAGATAGCCCTCCTGCATGAACATCCTTACGCATGTCTCCTTATGGACCTGTGCGAGGTTTCTCTGGGACTTTCACCCAGAAGTAAGACAGCTAAGTGACAGGGAATATGTACACACCATGGCAACAGATGCTGCCAGGCTGGTTTCCGGCGGGGCAGTATGAGGTTACACCCTCACAGCAATACATGAGGGCACCTACTGCCCCGGGTCCTCACAGGCACTTGTTATTATCCAACTTTCTAATGTTTGCCAATCTATTGGAAGTAAAGTGCTATTTTGTTTTTAATTGGCGTTTCTCAGCTTACTAATGGGCTTAAACACCTATGTGCTGGCTGTTCGAGTTTCCTCTTCTGTGACTTGTCTGTTCATAACCATTTTAAAATGGGACTTTTTTTTTTTTTTTGTCTTTCTCTTACTGATTTACCAGTGTTTCTAGAGGCAGATTTACCGAGAGGCTAATGAAGCTTAAGTTTCAGGTAACCTCACTTGTACTGCGCAGGACCAGACCAATGGAACAAAGGAAAGTTAGAAATAGACCCTTTCTATGTGATAACTTGATATCTGATACACTGGCTTCACTAGGGTTGCTGTCACCCAGTGCGGTAACTAATGGTATCATCCTCCACCCCCGCCCAGGCTGGCGACAAACCCCCCACCTCTGTGGGTAGAACAGCCTAGCCCCACTCCACCCTCCATGCAGGGCTGAGGGAGGTGCCAAGCAGCCCCACCCCTCCCGGAACCCCCAGCCCAGCATCCGGAGGCTCCCGCCCTAAGTAGTGGGTGAGGGGGGTGGAGGCTAGGGGATGTAGAGTGGGTGGAGTTGTGACGAGTTGCCACTGCCTTGGCAGCCCCTTCCCTGGCAGCGCCAGCTCACCTGCCACCACTGCCGTGGCCACTGCTGCTTCAAACCCTGGGGTCATTTTGGTATCACCCCCTCTGACAATGTGAGGGGGTGCAAACCGCACCCCCACAGTGACACCACTGATTAAGGCAGCCCAGCAAAGCAATGGGAGGAGAATAGACTGTTAAAAAGTATAAAGTGGGAGCTGTACCTTACCGCTGGAGGATCCCGAGTAATCTTTATATGGTCATACACATTCCTTTTCTTAAAGAGGGCTGCCCACATTGTATAAGTTTCAGGTCCCACAAAACCTAGATCTGCCACTGGAAGCTAGGGGTGTTTGTGTGTGTGTATGTGTATGTGTGTGTGTGTGTATGTGTGTTAAAAAATTAATATATTGTTGTTGTTAGCTGCCATTGAGCTGGCCTCCAACTCACGGCGACCCCATGTACAATGGAAGAAAATGCTGCCCAGTCCTGCTCTATTCCCATGATCAGTTGCAGATTGGACCATTGTGATCCATAGGGTTTTTATTTGCTGATTTTCAGAAGTAGATCTCCAGGCCTTTCTACCTAGTCCATCTTAGAAAGTTCCACTGAAACCTGTTCAGCATCTGTCGTAGTTCTCTAGTGCTGCTACAACAGAAATATGACAAGTGGGTGGCTTTAACAAACAGAAATTTATTTTTTCACAGTTAAGAGGCTAGAAGTCCAAATTCAGGGTGCTGGCTCTAGAGGAAGGCTTTCTCTCTGTTGGCTGGAGGAAGGTCTTTGTCTCTTTTCAGCTTCTATTCCCCAGCAATATCATGTGACTTGGCATCTATCTTCCCCAACCTCTGCTTGCTTGCTGCTTGCTTAATCTGCTCTTTTATATCTCAAAAGAGACTGATTTAAGACCCACCCTACAATAATACTACCACATTAACATAACAAGAAAACCCACTCCCAAATGGGATTATAACCACTGTCATGGATTGAATTGTGTCCCCCCAGAATATCTGTCAACTTGGCTAGGTCATGATTCCCAGTATTGTATGATTGTCTACCACTTTGTCATCTGATGTGATTTCCCTATGTGTTGTAAATCCTATCACTATGATGTAATCAGATGGATTAGTGGCAGTTACATTGATGAGATCTACAAGATTAGATAGTGTCTTAAGCCAATATCTTTTGAGATATAAAAGAGAGAAGTGAG